GATATGATGGGAAATGTGTGGTTGAAAAAGAACAAAAAGTTACTGATGTGATGAAAAATATTATTTTATTGAAGAATGTGTGGTTGAAAATGAGAATTGATTTACTATAGAAAAATTTAATTCCTCCCAAACATGGCCTACTAGTTTTGTTGTGCTCAATAATTTGAAAATCGAGTTGAATTGGTGACCGTCTCGAAAAATTAAGTCTCGGTCCGAATGCCGACTAAGACAATTATTGCGATTTCTCAAACATACTTTTCAATCTCTACACATTTCACTGCACCATTCGTTGGCATTCTTCTTTGTCGATAATTCTCCAAGATTCAAATTTGAAACGGCCCTTGTAAGCAGACAATAATTTTCTTCCATAAAAACAATGGTCCCAGTTTCTGCATGCATTCACGTGTTCTGTTCAATTGATTTTAGACTAAAACATCGCAATCACCATCGCCATCAGCTTCTGCATATCTCAGCATAGGATTCTAATTATTTTAAATGCATTAAATTTGGAGTATACTATCAATTTCTGCACAACCCACGTGTTTACGATCCATGCAACCCACCCTCCATGTCTACTCAACAATTTGCCACTGTACCACGACTGCAAAATAAGACAAAACTTCTTCATTAAGAGGGAGAAATTAAAGAGTTCTTCTTTTGTAAATTTGTTCAATATTTTTGTTGTGAATTTACAGTGAAAAGAAAACCATGTTTGACGGTATGCAGTCTGGTGATCAGTTTCATCAATTCTTAGCTTCATCAAGAGCCTCATTGCCTATTCCTCTTTCTTTTCCACTTAATGGATCAAACCCATCTGTCATTCCCAGTTTTGATCCTTTCACTTCTCATCAGTTACACCTTCAGTTAGAGTCCTCTTTTAATAACAAGGTTGAACAGGATTATGAAGAACAAACCAGTTTAATCTCAACTAATTCAGTGCTCGAAAGAGAGAGATCTATGCCGGATACGGCGATGACTGCCAATCTGGGCTGGTCGCATAATGAAGTTCTTGCTTTGCTCAGAATTAGATCCAACATTGAGAATTGGTTTTCAGATTTCACTTGGGAACACGTTTCAAGGTACATACAATACATCTTGTGATTTTTATTTTTATTTTTTTTCGAAATTCACGTGTACTGTCGACGAAAATCGAGGGTGCACGTACGCTTTCCCTTTTGTGAATCTTGTTTTCAGCAATTTTTCTTCTTGTTTTTATGTTGTTTTTGCTACAAAAACTTTTGCTGGTATATATAATTAAAAGTAAACCGACATTAAAATTAATATATTCCTGCCTCTGTGTAAAGGGACAGAGATTTAAAACTGCAAAAGTGATCATCAATGAAATGGAATAAGTATTGCTGAGCGCAGTAATTGTTATGGTTTTCATAAATTATAAATCAATGCAGGAAACTTGCAGAGCTTGGGTTTAAAAGAACTGCCGATAAATGCAAGGAGAAATTTGAAGAAGAAAGCAGAAATTTCAACGGTATAAGCTACAACAACAATTACAGGATTTTCTCAGAACATGAAGATGAATTTTATCCTGAGGATCATGATCAAGAACCCCATATTTCTGCAGAAAAGAATCAACGAAATCAAGAAGAAGAAGATATAGGGGAGAGGAATATTGTGGAAAGACAATCAGAAAGAACTGTAGCTGCATCTCAAGAAAATGAAAAACAAGTTGCTATGAAACCAAGAGAAAACAAGAAGAGAAAAAGAAGAGAAGACAAGTTTGAAATGTTCAAGGGTTTTTGTGAAGCAATTGTGAACAAGATAATGGTTCAACAGGAAGAGTTGCACAATAAGCTGATACAAGACATGTTGAAGAGGGACGAGGAAAAAATTGCAAGAGAAGAAGCTTGGAAAAATCGATATATGGAGATGATCAAAAAGGAGATTGAAATAAGGGCAGAAGAACAAGCGACTGCTGGGGAGAGACAAGCTGCTATTATTGAGTTTTTGAAGAAATTTACATCAGATTCTTGCGAAGAAGATCAGGAATTTGTAATGAAAATTCAAGATCTTCTCAAAGTCAACATGACTTTACCTTGTACAATTCAATCTCATGATCAAACTACAACTACCCAAGAAATAGTAGAAGCAGCCACTTCATCAAGCATGGCTTTTATTCACCAAAACCCTAGTTCAAAACCCTGCTCCTCATCTGTACTGCTCCAAAACCCTAATCCTGCAAAACCCCAAGATAATAATCAGTTAGAATTGACACCATCTTCAAGGAAAAAGCCTTCCCAGAATTTACACTGTGAAAGTGGAGATAGTGGCAACAGATGGGCTAGAGATGAAGTGTTAGCTCTGATAAACCTTAGGTGCGAACTGAATAATAATGGTGAAATTAAGGACGGAGAAAAGGGTCCTTTATGGGAAAGAATTTCACAGGGGATGCTTGAATTGGGGTACGGGAGGAGTGCCAGAAGATGCAAAGAGAAATGGGAGAATATAAATAAGTATTTCAGAAAGACTAAAGACAGTAGCAAGAAGAGGTCATTTGATTCAAGAACATGTCCTTATTTTCAACAGTTGAGCAGTTTATACAGTCAAGGAACCCTCGTCGCCCCAAATAATGTGCCGGAAAACCAATAGAGATGGGGAAAAAATGGCCACCGGCCGATTGCCTTCTTTCAATTTTGAAGTTTTAGTTTTACTTCGTGTGTGAAATAATTTTGTAGGCCTTTGTATTTTTGTTTATGAAGTTAACATTCTGAAAAATGAGAAGTTAGTTCCATCTGTCATTTGTAGAAAGATTGACTCTTTGAGATCCTTCATTTCTTCAGGTTGAATCTAGAGATAGAATCAGGAAAATTTCCAAAATGCCTCTGGATATTCCTCAATATCCCGACTATATATTCAAGGGACGTGAGATGCAGATGATTGGTCTGGGAAGAAATCAACAAAATTCTTAAGAACTATCTTCTTTTTTCTGGTACTTAAAAGAATGCTTTGAGTGTTAGCTGCACCATAAATAGGGAGGCTTTGTGAATACAGACGTCAATATGCACAAAGGTGAGCTGGAAAAGTACCTTTGCAATGACAAATGACAACACAACTGTAGCAAATTTACAAACTTCTTCCGTAAATTTTTATTACACAAATAACATTCTACGGTATAAAATAAATTCATAACTCAACTGATGCAATACGGAAAGAAGAAAATTTCGTGGAGAAGTGAAACTGACCTTGAAAGAAATAATTTTTCAGGGTGTTTGTTTTCAGAGAATTTGTCTATTTCAAGTGGGAACGCCCAATGAACAAAACCCAAATTCCATCTTTTAGTGCTTCGAAAATGTGTTTTTCATTTTATCTTAATAATTTTGTTAATTTTAGAGTGTGTTTGAGCCATATTATTTTGAAAGAATGTATTCTGGAATAGTAGATTGATGGAGAATGTGTGATTGAAAAAAAAGGAAAAGTTATTGATGTAATATAAAATATTATTTTATTAAAAAATGTGTAGTTGAAAATGAATAGAAAAATGAAAATGAAAATTTTAATGTGTACCAAACAGGGGCTTAATATGATCACACACTTAACTTTTGGTCAACTAAAGAATTTTTTAAAGAAATCGTCTAGAGGTACTTTTACCACACATTTTCTAAAGGTTTGGGACATTTCTGCTATAGTATCAAGGGCAAGAACCGTGCTGCATTTTTTTAAACGTTCGGACAACCTCTATAAATTTTCCATTTATAATAAGTTTCAACTGATGAATCATAGAGCATTGATTGACAAAGAATTTATCAAAATTTCGACAGTGTGTAGGATTAATCATGCACAATGTGTACAATACATTGCCGTAGTATCTAAGATAAGTTCTGTCTTCACAACAGCAATCCAACAGCATATCACATATCTCCATCTCTTCTCCAGTCTGTAATTTTATACCTAGTAATTTTTAACTTGTCTCCTCATAGTTACAACTGGACATTGTATGATGGTATATATGTTTGGTATGATGGTGTATGTTTTGGGTCTTGAAGGAAAGAGGTTAAGAAAAATAGGAAATTTTACTTAATGAATTTGAAAGTTTTACAAATGAGTTACTACCGCACACTCAATTCTTGGTTTTCTTTCACTTCTTCTACATTTCTTCTATTACAAATGAGCTGAGCAAAGTCTTGAAATCATGGGCCTAGATTCAATGGCTATAATTACTTGCAAGTTGCAAGCAACTTTATGCAAGTGGTAGTGACTGCTTCTTATCTCCATGAAGTGGTAGTCAAGTTGGATTTTGCTTCTCATCTCCATGAAGTGGTAGTCAAGTTGAATTTTACTTCTGATCTTCATGAAACAAGTTGTTGAAGTGTTTTAATTGTATTTTAATTCTTTGAAGATTATAAATTAATAAAGATCATTTAACACCCCCATCTTAATTTGTAATCTTCAACTGTTTCTTGAATTTCTTGAACTAATCAATCATCACTAGCTTTATCATCATGTTGGTCGGTTCATCGTTGGTATTTATAGATTCCGTGCAAAATTCTTTTTGATTTACTGAATCTCTTATAAGTGATGTCGAAGTTCAATATACTTTGATCTCTAGTCTAGTATAAAAGACTAGATTTTTTGCCATTGCAATTGGTGACACGTTGTCGCTTTCGGCTCAAAATTCAAATCTCTCAAAACTCTTCTAAGCCAAACTGCTTCGCAAGCTGAATCTGGGACAGCAGTGTACTCTGCTTCTGCTGATGATAAAGCAACATATTTCTGCTTTCTTGAGCTCCAGGAAATCACATTTGATCCAAGGCAAAAGATGTATCCAAAAGTTCTCTTCCGATCATTAATCGATCCTGTCCTATCTGTATAGCCAACAAGTTTGCAATTATTTTCCTTTTTTAACTGGATTCCATGGCTCTTAGTGTTAGGATCTAACAAGGAAGTTTT